TTTCTCGTTTGCTTTTTCTTCTAAAAAAAGTCTATTAACAATTTTTAAATTTAAACCAAGTTCAGTATATCGTGAATAAAACGTAAGAATGGATATATCCAGGAGATGATTAACGAAAATTTTTTTTTGGGTCAAAACATAAATTTTGTTATTATTGCATAGTTATGTAGCTAAAATATACAATTTCTTATGATTTGTTTTGGTACCACAAAAGGACTTGCCTCGATCTCCATCGATGCCACGACAAAGAAAGTGAACGAGTCGTATCTCATCTCCGTCTTTAAGACAATCGTACGACGTGGAGAGTACGGTGCGTCGGTTCGTAGGTTTTTACCGGCGGCTTTGGCTGATCTAAAGGCTAAGAGATATGTTCAGGCAGTGTCTAACATGAAAGAGGTTGTGACGGCGCCGAGTGTTTGTGGGGACCAGTGGGCCGGACAATGTCTGTTACCGTTGGCCGGACGTAACAAAGACGTCCATGATATAGCCGATATGACTATTGACATCATCAGAACTTTTGTCAATTAATTGATAAAGATTTTTGTGTGATTATTGCAAAAATTTCAAGGGAGAAATGAATAAGATAGTCTATTAAAAAGGAATAAGACATTTAATTTCCATGTAAGAAATATATAGGGAATCTGTTCTATGTAAGAGAGATAAAATTTCAATTATTATTCTCTTACCATTTTGATTATAAAAAAAAAATCTCTTACCAAATACGTTAAAATTCCTGTGATACGATAAAATATCGAGTATAGAGACTAGTAATGCGGAATTATTTTATTTGCATTAGAAGATTTTGTCATTGCAATGGATTTCAAATGCTCTGTCGAAAATAGTTATAATCAATTTACTAAATTACGATTTTTTTGCGAAAACTGAAAACACGAAATTTGTCATCTTGGTCTCAATTTTTTTCGTAAGAGATTTGGTAGTAGTTAAACCCTTTCTCCACTTGATAGTGAAAAGTACTTTTTTTTTGGGTCGAATAGTGAAAAGTATTTATTATCGGCTTATTGCAACAATCAACGTGATATAATATTCAAATATGTTTAATATTATTCAACCCTATTTTTAATAATTTATTTAATGTTAAAAACAAATATTTGCGCATATTGCGAATAACCATCTAATAATCATTTGTTTGTTCAGCTAGTCAAAGATATTCAATTAATTACAGAAAAGGAAGTATATAAAACCAGAATTGTTAAGAAAATGTTCATGGTCTTTGACCAATAGAGACTAATCGATTGTGTACTTATATTTATTTTCATAAAATACAAGCTTGTACATTTAGTTATTTAATTAAACATAAAATTGTGATTTTAAAAGATTCTGTGATATATTTAGCTAAGCATGTAAGAGAACAAATCACATATGCATCTCTTGTATTATATCAAAAGAGCTTTATAATATAGGATAAATAGTATATAAAAATTTTTTTCTAAAACAACCCACTTTTTTATAAGAATTAGTAAGATAACTTCTTTAATTTTTTATTGTCGAAATAAACTATTTCACGTTTTTTATTTTTCATAATAACAAAAATATCTTTATTAACTAACTAATATTAAAAATAAGTTTAATTGGAAAAAAATCAAATAAGAAAAAATAGATACAAAATTTAAAAACCATTATCAACAAAATACATAACACTCCAGAAATCTGTCAATGTTTTTGCAGATTATGATTATTATGCTTTCGTAAAATCTACATTTTTTTAGCCTCGTTATAGTCTGTCAATGCCTCGGCAGAGTCTGCCAATATATCGGTAGAGTCTACTAATGTTTTGGCATATTCTGTCTTTTTCAAGATACTGGTAAACTCTGCTAATATTTCAGCAGAGTTTACCAATGTTTCGACAGAGTCTACCAATATTTCGGCGGAGTCTGCCTATTTCTAGATATTGGCAGAGTCTGCCAATTTTTCAGCAGAATTTACCTATATCTCAGCAGAGTATGCACCAGACTCTGCTAATATTTTGGCAGAATCTGCCTATATCTCGGCAGAATCTACCTATATTTCGGCAGAATCTACCTATATTTCGGCAGAGTCTGCCAATATTTCGTATGATTCAACACTTTCACATGATTAACGTGATTTGTTTTTTTTTTTTTCTACTATCCCTTGTATATTAACAAAGTTTACAAATACAATACATATATTGTTATTCTTTTGATAAAAACAATTAACTACGTTATATATTTGATTCTTAATATATTTTTGTTGTTGTTGTTCACAACAGAGCTTGCGTTGATTTCTGTGGATGGGGCATCAAAAAAAGTGAACGAGATGTTAGCATATCTCAATTCGGTCATTAAGGATATCATAAAACCTGACGAATTGAAAAAGTACGATATTTGCGTGGATGCATACAATTCAACGGTTCATAACTTTTTACCGGCGGCATTGGATGATCTGAATATTTTTGACGCAGTGGCTAATATGCAAAACATTGTGACTGTGTTAGATAATTGTGAGTCACAGTTCGCCGGAAGTTCGCCATTTACCGGACGTAACAAGGTAGTCCATGATATTGCCGATATGAGTGCAGACATCATAAGATATTTGTATGGAAATTAATCAACTAGTATCTTGCGATTACATATTGCAAAAAATTCAAAGGACTAATTATAAGATGATAAAATTATATGAATAAGATATTTAGTTTCTATTTTGACCAACAAGAGTCTTTGATTTAAAACTAAAACTTTGATTTATATAACTAAAATGCGTATTCTAAACAAGGAAAACTCTATAACATATTGATATTAGAGAGAAAAAAAACAAATATTATCATCTTACCAGTTTCGTCTATAATAGATTTCGTCTAATTTATGTAACAAAAAAAGATGACATGACTTAAATTTCAACTAATTAATTTAAATAATAAAACTAAAAAAATTATTTGAATTGTAACTTTTATTTTTTTATGCTGACAAATACAATTTGAATTATTCAAAAGATTTCGTAATATTAATATATATTTTTAAATTCCAATAAAAGGTTATGAATAAAAATAATTACAATAATATCTAGACAAATCTTTAAAAATTAGCTTAATCCATGTTATTGTTATTGGATTGAGCAATAATCGTGAGCTTAAATTCTTTTGGAATTTCAACAATAATTCAATTCAATTAAGTAAAACAAATTTAAAATTTAGACCATCGTAAATTAAGTTTTGCATAATATAAAATGACGATAAAAAATATTGAGTTTAATAGATTTAAAACAATTATTCTAAAAGCATCAATCGAAAACAAACAAAGATTCCATGTGTTTAATGTTCTTTCTCTTTCCGGCCAAATTGTAAAACATGATTGTTTGCTTAGCAACTTGTAAAATTTTTCCAGTAAATCATTTTAAAATTTTGAATCATATTGCACATACATTTAAATTTTGTAATTAACTTTTACAAGTCTTACATTGATTTAAAAAGCTTGGACAACTAATGTCGAAGATTCAAAGTAATTTTACTATAACTTTAAGATTGTTCTAGTACCTAAAATAATTTTAATCTCGAACATCAAAAAATTAATTTTCTTACTATTAAAAGAGAAGTGCAATTATTAAAATGCATATTTGTTTTAATTTCATTGGTTTAGATAGAAAAAAAAACTATGACATGGCAAGCATAAATTATGACATGTTTTTGAAAAAAAATGATATGGTATTAATCTCTACTCAATTTACTTAAAATTTGTGAAAACAAAAAAAGTTGAAGAAGATGTATGTAGTTGCCTAGAAATGAGGATACAAAGATTGCAATTTTTTTTTTTTTAAAACGTGAGTATACAAATATTATATTGGGATATCTTTTTTTCACAACATAAATTTGTTATGTTAGAAGCTATCAAATATCTTATGCCCAAATATAAAAGGTATCGAACTTTTTAAAAGATTGTGTATGCTATATATTAAAAATAAAACATTTGGTATTAATATAACATAAAATTTGTTATATATTAAAAATAAATATGAAAGAGAAAATACAGACAATAAAAATAAGGGCAATTACAAAAATGCCACTTTTTGTATGTGCATTTGCAAGAATCCCACTTAGGGGTATTCATATACAAAAATGCCACTAATTATAGATCTATAAAGCCTATATCTTAAAATTCTAAACCCTAAAAAATGTGTTATCACCTAAAACCCCCTAAACACTCAAAACTAAACCCT